TTGGATTGAATAGACAAATAATAGAGATTTGTTTAAATCTTTAAACCAGGGGTCTCAAACTCAACTTAACTGGGGGCCGCTGGAGGTAGAGTCTGGGTCAGGCTGGGCCGCATCAAGTATTCCACAAAAAATAGTATTCAAGAATTCCAAAAAAGGAGCACAACTGATCCAATCTTCATGAGCTGTCCTTCTGACAGTTGAAGTTCATTTTCCTTATACACAAAATCTTTGTGATACTTTATTTTACAAACATTCTTTTTCTTTTCCTTATAACACATATTTGTGATACTTATATTTGCTTATGTCCTTTTTATTTTCTTTATACAACACATTAATGATATTGAATGTTTTTTTTTTGGAAGGCACATTTCCTTTTATTATACTTAGAAAAACGATTATTGCTTTTGAAATACAAATATTTGCAGTCATGTCTGCCCGTCTTAGGGCCTGTTCACATATCGCGTCTTTTGCGCGCTCAAGTTCGTTATTTCAAATGTAGGTGCGCGGTATGCACGCTCATAATGGAAGCGACGCGCTCGTTTTTTCCAAGCGCGTGCGCGCCGCATCGAGATACAAACATCTCAACTTTTCAGAATGCCGCAAGCGCACCGTAGCTTAGCAACGACAGACGCCTACGGAGCGCAGCCGCCCTGGCGCTTTGGAAAAAGGAGAACGTTTTCTACGCGTTTTCTACGCGTTTTTGGGCGCTAAATGTGAATTCAGCCTTATTTAATTATTTCTACACATGTATAGTGTCTCAGGCAAATTACTGACTTTGCACAAATCAAAGCAAACCTTCTTATCAACCTGCTGGACACATATTACAAGCTCAAAATGATTATTCTCACATTGTTTTTAGCAGGGGTCTCCAACACGTCGCTCGCGACAACAAACCCACCTTAAGCTGTCATGAGACTATCTATGGTAGCCCATAAGGGATAAAAAAAATATATATTTTTAAAACGCGGCACACGCAACGACGGGCCGCACTAACATTAAACTTTAATGTCAAGTAGGGGGCCACAAAATATCGCGACTGCTTTAAACCTTTAACCCTTTGATGCGCAAGCTATGGATACCCCCTCTAATGCACAACATGGGTCTAAAAAGACCCGTATTCATTTCCTATGTTATTTCATGCATGGATTGGCATTTTTTTTTGTTTCACCTTTTGAAATCACTTTATTTGAGCATTTAATATTTCATGATCTATAAATTTCATGATTTATGAATATTCTAAATATCTTGTTTTCTATTATCACAAAATTATATTTTAATATTTCCAAGGTTTTGTGTTAATACATCAAGTTTACACACATGGGTCTAAAATGACCCATCTATGCAAGCGTGATAAAACAAAAGAATAAAGAAAGCTTTTTGTTAAAATAACCAATGTCACAGTTATTTAGATCAACACATTTACTGTAACACTTGAAATATGTTTATTGGCCACTTTGTCACACATAACACACATATAACCGATAACACTGAAATTGAACTGTAGTGTAGTGCAACTGTAGGGGGATCTCCCCACCACCAATGTGCAGCATCCACCCGGATGATGCGACAGCAGCCATAGTGCACCAGAACGCCACCACACGACGGCTTATGTGACCGATTGCATTGATTTATGACCACAAATAAAAATGAATATGGAGGTACAAGGTTTCTGCCCAACAGCCACAATATATACTTGTATATATAACTTTCTATTGCAACTTTTATTTTGTTGACCTAGCTATTAGATAAAATAGAATATATCGACCGCAAGCTAGCTAATAGTATTGGACATGTTTCTCTTTTGCACTAGTAATGGATTTCAAGGTCAAGGTAACCTTAGCCTAAATGTTCAAATATTAGGCCATATCTAGATGTCTTTCACAAAATATAAAATATTTTCTCTGTGACAAAAATTTATTAAATAAAACTTACATGCATGAAATATACAAAAGCAGCTGTGTTGAATTGTGAAATGTGTGGCAGATGAATAGTTTTCTGCAGTAAATGTATTTATACTATTTATAAATATCAAAGGTTCCTATATGGGTCATTTTTTACCCATGTGTGTAAAATTGATGTAGAAATACAAAAACCATGTGTGTTTATAAAGTAAGAAAGGAAAAATAAACATAATGATTTGTGGAAATCAAAAACAAGATATTTAATGAATACCTGGATTAATAAATGATAAAATACATTTCTTTCGAATATTCAGCAAAGAAACATGAATACGGGTCTTTTTAGACCCATGTTGCGCATTAGAAGGGTAGTGACACAAAAATGATTTTTTTTCGAAAAGTAAGAAAGGAAAAATTTAAATAAGGATTTTTAATGATCTAAAACAAGCTAATTGAGGAATACCTGGAATACTGAATGATGAAATGAATTTCTTGCAAAGATATAGAAAATGAAAACTCAGTCGGGTCTATTTAGACCCATGTTGTGCATCAAAGGGTTAAGTATGAACTATAGTAGTTGATGCTTACCTTAGTAAACACCTCTAACTATTATAAAACAATCTGTCAATTAAACTGATATTTGTTCAAATGGATTTTTCTTTTTGGTGAATATGATCACATTAACTAGCTACAAGCAAAATGCTTCCTTGTCTTTCCTAATTTCATGTATCCTTCCCTATTATGCTCCCTCTGTGTTCCACTCATCTCTACCGTCAAACCTGTTTCTCAGAGATCCCATTTAAATCTCGCCTTTGATCTGCAGGTCCTTCACTCTGTCTTTATGTGATCTCTTAAGACCCCTTTATTAAAAAAAAAAAATCTCTATACTGATCTCTATTTGAATTCTGTGTGTGTTTGTCTTAAATCTCCCAATAAGAATTTAAATGGATAGTTCACCCCAAAATGTAAATTTGTAAAAGTCATCCTTTACTCACCCGCATGTTGGTCCACACCTGTATGACTTTTTCAGTTTTTTTTTATTATTATTCCATACAAAAAAATGTATTTGGGTCTACTAGAAAAGGTTTTCATGTTTGAATGTTAAATTTTTTTTCATTTCATAAATTCACATATTTAATATGGTTGCAGCACCTCTCTTCACAGTCTGTCAGTAACACTCTGGGGTGCGTTTTCCGTACAACGATGTAAACTCGCTGCTTAACTACCATAGTAATATAACCACACAATTTTCCGATGCTGTTTGCGATTGTTCATTTGAACTATGGTTTCGGGAAACATCGACTTGTTGAACTATTCTGATAACGACGGAACTTGCGAATATAGTTGGCTAACGATGCTTTTGGGAAACGCACTCCTGTCTAGTTCCTGTCTCTTTGAAGCCCCTCCTTCTAAAAACGGAATGTGCTCTGATTGGTCGGCTGGATCAATGTGTTGTGATTGGTCAACCGCTTTGAGCGTGTTTGGGAAATGTCACGCCCCTCACAATGACCGTGAGTTTCAACACACGAGTAACGCAACTCAACCAGGCCTCTCCCTTTTATTTTGCGTATGTCTTGGGGAGGAATAATTTAAATGAGGAATATTGTGACGTGCACGTTCTCAGAAGAAATCTCGAGACTACAATAGAGGGGTTTCAGGGAGTTCAGAACAATGTGCACTGATACAGAGAATAACTCCCTTTGGAGTGACTTTGTGTTTTGTAACTTTGCAGACCTTTTTCATGCTCAAACAGCAACATTGCACAGTAAAGGTAGTTGAAAATGTCAAAAAGCATAATAGTCTTCTTTAAATTTAACAGGCACAATATGTGAGTCCATTATATAATGAACACATCTAAATTGTGTCTCTGTTTGCTTTGAGTTTGAGCATTGCCAGTTCCTGGCAAATATTGAGATGTGCCCCCTGCTTCTGCAGATATCTGACGTGTGCTCAATATTTACTCTGTTTCTCTTGCCCCTCTCATTCCTAGCGGGTAACCGTCTGTGAGCCCCTGTGCTTTACTTTCCCGCGCCCTCTCACTTCAGCTGCTATCTGTCTGCTCCACAGACACAGGATAAATGTGTGCCGTTGAAAAGTCTCTAAACCTGTTAGAAGCAAAACATGTGGGTGGGATGATAATAACATCTTACAGTACAAGTGAAGTTCATTTAATTCGCAAAATAAAATATAAAATATACGTTCCTCTAACATACAGTTACTGCTATTATTTCATCCAGTGTTGCTGTTTGTCTTTTGTATTTGTAGTTTTGAATTTATTATATAGTATTGATTTTTTTAAAATGTTATTTTACTTTCTAGCGAGGTCCTGTCTAAGTATGTTTAAAATTAACTAGTTAGTTTTTGAAAAAAGTCTCTTATGCTTAAGGGTGCATTAAAAAAATGCAAAAAAGTAATTTTGTGAAATGTTTTTACAATTTTAATATATTTTAATATCTTTAATATCTTTTTGAGTTAAAAAAAAAAGTAATTTATTTCTGTGATGCAAAGCTGAATTTTCAGCATTATTACTCCAGTCTTCAGTGTCACATGATCCTTCAGAAATCATTCAAATATGATAATTTTGATGCTCAAGAAACATTTATTATTATAATCAATGTTGAAAACAGTTGTGCTGCTTAATATTTCTGTGGAAACCGTGATACATTTTTCAGGATTGTTGGATGAATAGAAAGTTTAAAAAAACAACATTTATTTGAAGTAGAAATTGAATAAAAGTGCGGAATTAAAGTATTAATTTATTTCAAATATAAAAATCTCACGACCCCAAACTTTTAAAAGCGGCCTTATGTCTCACATGGGACGAAGAGGATTTTGAATAGTAAATTCTTATAGTGCCATTAATAACTCAGTTTCAGTGTGTTTTGTAATAACACTTGAAATGTAACGAGTTGGATGGTGAGTGTAAAATTGTCCTTTGTGCTTTCATCTGAATGAAATACATTTTTGCACGGTTTGAATGAGCTACCACTAAGCAGGACATGTCAGTCAGACAATCTTTTCCTTTACATTTCTTCATCTATATCATCTATATTCTTCATCTTCATTGATATATCTTCTTCATTTCTGTTTTCCTGTCCCCAGACGCCAGGTCCTGCTCAGCGGGGGAGTTCCAGTGTCGTAACCGTAAATGTTTAGCACCGGTCTATGTGTGTGACGGTGACGACGACTGTGGAGACGGCAGCGATGAGGAGAAGTGCTCTCCGCCCACCTGTGGGCCGCACGAGTTTCGCTGCAACAGCTCCGAGTGTGTGCCTCAGCCTTGGACCTGCGACGGAGACCCCGACTGCTCTGACGGGTCTGATGAGTGGGCGGTGCGATGCGGGGGCGGGTCCGGTCGACCGGTTCCTCCACCCGCCCGGAGACTGCAATGCAGTGCTGGAGAATTTCGTTGCGGCAGTGGGGAGTGTGTGAGACTGACCTGGAGGTGCGACAGGGACCCTGACTGCAAGGACAAGTCGGATGAGGTCGACTGCCGTGAGTGTGCACCATCACTTCTTCCTGTAGGATCTCACTGTACAACATAGTGACTCCCTTAATTTGGCAGTTTTTTTTTGTCAACTTGTGTTTTAGTTGGGATTCATTTTAGCAAATCGATTGGTTAGGACAGTTTACTTCAGGGAATTGGTTCATTCAAATGGTACTTTTTGAAGTAGTTGTGCATCTTTCCCTCAGACAAATTTTTCCCCTACTGAACTTGGATGCTGCATTGATATACAAAAAACAAACATCACCACCACATTTATGGAAGAATCTCAGCAGGAGTTCTCCTTGTGAGGGTCACACGACCCCAACAATGTTTCTGAAGGGCACGTCACACTGGCATGCTCCGATGGGAATTCAATTCCCTCAGATATTGTAAGGTTTCGCCAAAGATGGAAAGCGACAGTTCTATGCAGATCATTTTTTCTGACTCTCTGCCATTTATTATCAATTCCACCCACAAAAAAGACAATTCTTATTGTGGAAGCCATTATTGCCACGTGAGTCAAAGCATTTGGTGGGAAGACGGACTTTAATCCAGTTTGACAGTGATGGAAGGCAGCACACACATTTTCATGGACGTTTGCAGTATGTTAGCCAAGTGTTTGTGCATTCGTGTAGAGTACAGTATGTTTCTGAGCTTACAGTGCACTTAATACATAGAACATCCTAAGGTTAACTGCTGCTCAAGGGTGATGCTCAAGGATGTACAGTAGCAACTACCCAGCACAACCTATACAGCATTTCATTTTGTGCCACATTTTAATGTGTAAAAAAGGATTTGGCATACAGCTGCAGTGTAGGCATGTATAGTACACTGCCTTTGATATTACGCAGTTTGTGTAATAAAAAAATAAGGGATATTTGAAAAACCTAAGGTTCTCACGCTTCAGGCAAGTGTGATTGAGCTTCCGTTTACGATAAATTAAATCTGTTCATCATACAAAATAATTGCGTCTCTTCAGAAGGCTTGGATTAAACCACTTGATTCATATGGTTTTCTAAATATCTTAGTGTTTTGAAGATGAAATAAGTCTTATGGGTTTAGAAGAATAGCCCTTGAAATAACCCTTCAAGTTTGTTCACTAAATTCACTAATTCGTTTTTTCAAATAATAATTCAGTTTCAGATATCAGATATTAGGCTAATAAAATATTTGCTTAGTTATCACTAAAGTTGACTAACTTGTTCTAGATCTTTGACATGAACCAGTTCCTTTGTAGTAACCTTCATAGAAATCAAAAACCAAATATAGTTTATAACCAAATTTATATACACAGTATATAAAACAATGCTTTTTTTTTTTTTTTTGCCAAACATATGTTGCATAACCATGTAGTCATTCACATTTTTTGATAAACCAATGAATTGTTTTGTTTTTTCTTTTGGATATTTTAGTTTTTCTTTGGATTGTATACTGATTTAATGTACACAACACAAACCAAAAGGTTGTGATTATTCATAGCAAATGAAGTATGGCATATACAGAAACAGTACAGAAACAGCTGCATCACATTCATTTCCGAGACTCAAACAAGTGATACATTATTCATTTGGTTGGACAAGTCACATATCTGAAGCCGTTTTAAAAAGCTGATACACGTGAATCTGACCACACATCAGAATTTCTAAATTAATGCATTTCTGCTGCCTGGCACTAGTTATGGTATCGCACAATTTAATTTCATACCAGCAATGACTTTGATGTGCATCAGAAATCAGATTTGTCAAAATTCTGTCACATCATCTCCGCATCACATCATTCCCTCAAAGCTTGGAAAATTCAAATGTCACATCTCCGCTGTCGTGCTCGTTCCCCAGGCACCTCTGACAGAATAGAGCTCCCACAAGGTGTTTGTTATCTAACATAGCAGAAGTGCGTCTTTGGTAAACAACAAGATCCCAGGAGTATAAACCGACCTCAAGAGAGACAAGGTGCCCGGGAGAGGGCCTGATTTTAATTACCAAGCTTTCTCGTTCTCTGAGGTTGACTTCATGGGCCGGATAAGTTCACAGAGTGCTTGTTTTAAACCTGCTTCCTCTTTCTTCATTCCCACTGTCAGGTAACATCCAGGTCAATTACGGTGTCACTTTGCCCAGGCCGGAGGGAAAACGGGCACGCAGAGGTTGCTAGGCAACTTGAGCACATGTCCTTGAGCATCTTAAAGCCCTTGAAACATAGGATGGGTACATCTACCACAGACTGCTCTATAATCACATTAATCCCTTGTTCTTATGCAGAGTTTCGGGGGGCTTTACTTTGAACTTCATAATGGGCAATATTGTTTGTGTACTCAGATGTGTTTGTATAATTAAGCCTCTGTAATTCAAAAGCAGCTCTCCAGAAACGAGGGACACTTCAGTATTAGATCACGATTATGTTTTTAAAGATTTTCTTGGACTTTGAAAGTGCCTTTAAACTGTCATACCCACCACGCAAACATTTAAATCAGGCCGGATTTGTCTCAAATCTTACTGCAAACAGCTTCATGTTGCCTATTGAAAATGTTCTGTGGAGTGTTGTGCCTGTGTGTTTGGGCTTCATATAAATGTACACACACACACACACACACACACACGTTGGGTTTCCATGTTTTATGGGGACTTTCTATAGACATAATGATTTAATACTGTACAAAACTGTCTGTATGTTCTATCTCTCAACCCTAACATGACGGTACTAGGAGTCGTTGAGTTAAATCGTCTTAACTCCACAACAACTACATACATTTATCCAACCATTCAGAAACATTCAGTTCCATTCTAAAAGTTGTAACTTCTTCCTGAGTCTCTCAACCAGAGTCTGACTCCTGTTCGAACATACAAGGCTGTCACTTTCTGGCATTTTGGCTGCGTGAGATTCTCCAGTTTTGTCGTGGCCAAAGCACAAGCTGTAAAGGCTCCGCCCTCTTCTGGAAAGGGGGCCGGGAGCAGCAGCTCATTTGCATTTAAAGGGACACACACACAAAACATTTTTTTATTGCTCACCCCCAAATAGGGAGGACACACACAGACACATTCTGGGGACAGACTTATATTACATCTTGTGAAAAGGGGCATAATAGGTCCCCTTTAAACCCACTCTTAAACACAACCTATCTCAGAAAACTTTCTGTATTTTTACATATTCAAAAACAAAGTATTTAGTATGATTTACAAGCTGTTTTCCTCATGGGGACCAAAAATGTCCCCACAAGAAACATTTCTGGTATTACTATCCTTGAGGGGAAATGTTGTCCCCATTCCTGAATCACACACACATATACTGATTGATAGATACTGTAGATGTGTAAGAATGAGTGATCTATCAGTATTTTGTGAAACGACTTTAAAGGGTGATTCTGGAGGTTTTCAGAGGGAGAAGTGTGACTATGCTAGTGACATGCACTAAAGTACTTAAGTGATTGAATAAAAAATGGGTTGGATGTGTATATAAAATGTTTATACATTTTTTTTACTGAGTCACAGACTACATTTGTATTCATAAGGGTGTTACCAATTATGAAGCTCCAAAGCATGTTCCCTAAAGATAAAACCTCATGAAGGTCTGTTTGGAGTCTTTGTGTCAGCGTTTGGCTGATGTTTGTGCTCATCCGCAGCTCTGCTCACATGCCGACCTGATGAGTTCCAGTGCGGAGACGGATCCTGCATCCACGGCATTAAACAGTGCAACAAAATACACGACTGCCTCGACAAAAGCGATGAGGCTGGCTGTGTCAATGGTACGTCTTGGTGTGTGTGTGTGTGTGTGTGTGTGTGTGTCCTTTCCACAGATTTTTTGTGCTGCTTATTCAGCAGGGTGAAATGTTTCCCAGAGATCAAATTGGTTCCGCCCTTTAATACGACACCCTTCAAAGTTTAATGAGTTCAGACCTGTCTCCCCATAGTAGAAGCGTGTCCTGCTCAAAGAGGGCTGTGTCTAAGCGGTAATAAGCTTTCATGTGTGGAAATAAATTGGCCAATCCTTTTGAAAATGGCTTTTATTCGGAAGACGTGCAGAGACTTCACCTAAATGACCCACGTCTGTTAAAACGCCAGTCTATATCTGTGCACTGAGGACTTCTGAGTTTTTATGCTAATGTGAGAGGAAACAAAACAAAATTGAAATCAACTTAACAAATCACCTGCCATCTGTTCTGTAAGCATCTTCTGTCTTTTTTCCCCCATCATGCTATAGCCACAAAGTGTGAAGGACCTCTGAAGTTCCTCTGCAGGAATGGGGAATGCATTGACGGCAGCAAGGTGTGTGACAACGTGAAGGACTGCAAGGATCGGTCGGACGAACCCAAGAAGGAGTGCAGTAAGAAACTTCTTTGTTGACTTGCAGAGCAAAGAGCTGTTAAATTAATGTGGATAGTTTAGTTCAGATTATTTGCTCTTGGAAGAATTTGACATCTGAGACACTTTTTAAGTTTTACAATCGTTCTTGGGGTTTGTGTGTCAAGTGTTGAGGGCTATATCCAACATTCTAACATTATTTCCCAGATATCTTTGTTTTGTAAGCTGATTGCACCTTCTAAAACAATGGTTGCATAGTTCACTTCACATATTAATTGTTCTATAAAACTATATACACTGACGAGCCAAAACATTATGACCAGTCACAGGTGAAGCTGATATTGTTGATCATCGCTTAAAAAGGTCACATATTAAGGTCTAAGTAGATTAGATGGGAAGCAAACAATCAGTTCTCGTAATCGACATGTTGGATGCAGGAGAAATGGGCAGGAATAAAGATCAGAGCGACTTTGACAAGGGCCAAATTGTTATGGCCAAGCAACTGGGTCAGAGTATCTCTGAAATGGCGAAGCTTGTGTGTTGCTCCCGTTCAGCAGTGGTGAGAATTTACCAACGGTGGTCAGAGGAGGGACAAACCAAAAACCAGCGACAGGGTGTTGGGCGCCCAAGGCTCATCGATGCATGAGGGCAACAAAGGTTATCCTGTCTGGTCAGAGCCAACAGAAGGTCAACTGTGGCAGAAGTCACACAAAATTTTAATGATGTTAATGGGAGGAATGTGTCCCAACACACAGTAGCCGCAGACCATGATGCCTATGATGACCCCTGTCCACCGCCAAAAGTGCCTACAATGGACATGCAAGTGTTGGAACTGTATTTTAGAGCAGTGGAAGATGATCGCCTGGTCCGATGAGTCCCTTTTTCTTTTACATCACGTGGACGGCCATGTGAGTGTGTGCCAGGATGGACTGTGGAATGACAACAAGCCGGTGGCTTGTAGATCTCAATCCAACTGAGCATCTGTTAACCAAGAAGTTTGATCAACTAACAAGACTTGAAGGATCTGCTGCTAACTTATTGGTCCCAGATACTACAGGACACTTACTTACCTTACTACAGGACACTTACTTACCTTACTACAGGACACTTACTTACCTTACTTACTAACCTTACTTTGAAAAACCAAAGTAAGGTTAGTTAGCACAATTTTCAAGACAAATATTTGCCAGAAACTAAAAATCTGAATGCATGGGGTTGCATCGCATTTTTAAGCTTTCTCAACGATTACTTTTTTACAGTTTATAAACTTATAACAGGCATTGGCAAAAAAACACAAATATCTCTTTTTGAATTTTTGGAGTCAAACGTCTTTATTTTCTTTCTATGCAATCTTCTTGCAGGGAAGAGAAAACAGGATATTTTTCACACTCATATATCCCCAGCACTATCTGGGGCAGAGCTGACGTATCACCATCTTCCTCTGATGAATAGAAGAAAAGCTTTCCATAGTCTCAAAGAATGCATTAGCATCAAAGAGGAATGATGGCCTGTTGTGGCTGTTATAGAGACACGTGTGTGTGTGTGTGTGTATGTGTGTCTCCTCACCAAACCTGCACCCTTATCCTCCTCCCATTAATGCCACCTTCACCCGTGTGCTACAATAATCACAGTCTCCAGAGAAAGAGCTCATAACTCTGTCTTAATGGCCTCTGTGTCTTCTTTAATCCAGGCGCCTCTGCTGCTCATTTGGCATACGGCTGGCTCCAAGCGACATTGCCTTGCCCTAAATTGTTCACTTCCATGTATTTTGTCAGGATGCCAGCACCTGCTAATAAACTCAGAGAGCTAGAAAGAACACCTGGTCAAAGAAAGCGAAAGCACACTGTTGCTCGTTTCTGGCCCACATAGCCGTCTCCATTTTGCCTCATTAAATTTTTGTCCACAGAGTACTCAATATGTTCATTCAAGCTCTCAGACACAATATGTTCCTGGGATTCAACTGCAAATAATGCAACACTAGCTTCCACAGACTGAGTCATGAGATGATTCAGAGCCTGAAAGTTTCAACGCCGCCTTAATGCTCTCTCTGTAATGTCACTCGCACTCGTGTGTGTTTTTAAAACGGACCCTTGAGAATGTTGATGAGGCACGAAGCTGGTAATTGTGCTGGATGTATTCACTTTTATACTGCCAATCTCACTCAAACACAGATTGCTGGATGAAAGAAAAAAAAACGAATGACTAATGTGTGATTTTAGATCATGTTTCTAGAACCAGCATTCCAGGTTTTCCAATAGCCTAATGAAGCCCCAATGGTATTAAACAAGTGGAACAAATTGAAGTGATACAAAAATTTTTTCTGGCAATATGGAAATGTGTTTAAGTTATATTACTAAACAACATACTTAGCAGAAGTTATTATTACTAACTACATTGCCTTAATACTATTACTTGTATTATTACTAATTATTGCCTGTTACAAAAAAAAAACGAAATTGTTATTATAACATAGTATATTAACATTGCACTGCATACAAGTGAAATTTGTTTTCAAATGGCTTGTATTTTTTGCATTCAATTAAATGTGGTATGTGGTAAATCATCTCTTGCATGTGAAAAAGAAGTACACTTGATCAAACTTTTAAAAAGGGCACTTATTACCAAAATATTATACTTTAAAAATATGTACTTAAGTGCGAACTACATTTTATGTTTTCTGACACTGATTAATTGCATGTTAATTGCAATTAAATTAAAAAAAGCATTTAAAATGTAAATTTATATTAAATGCAATTAACTGAACTTTAGAGTGTTTTTTCCTACCCACTTAAGTAGGATTTAATTACATCTTTATATGGGAATTGATAATTATTTTGTCTTTGAAATATTGTTAAAAGGATACTCTCAAATTTATGGGAAACTGAAATATACTTTGATGTCATTTGTTGAAACTTGTATGTTATGTATTTAAAATGATCTGTAATTACACACGTGTAATACTAATGATGAAGTTGCAATTTAGTACATTTAAAATATACTAACTATAAATGTTATATCGAATGACACAGTTAAAATTATTAGTCAAGCACTTTACATGTGCTTTAGTATAGTCGACGACACATACAAATAAGTGTAAAAAAGCATGATGACAGATTATTAAAACATAATGACTTAAAGTGTACTTTAAATGACAACTTTCAATTTGGCATATTTATTTAATATTGTATTATCTGCAAGTACAGTTTTTTTTTTAAATATCCTTTTTTTTTTTAAGTAGCCTACACTACAATTGCTCATTCAGTACAATTAAGCATACTTCATTTTTCCATTCTTATGCTTTAATACAAGGGAAATCTGTTTTTGTTTTTTATTGTTTTAAATTGACATTTGTGTTGTCCAAAATGTCACTCCATCTAGGGTGTTTACAAACTTACATCCCTTCTCTGTTTCATAGGTCTGAATGAATGTTTGCTAAACAACGGAGGCTGCTCACACATCTGTGTGGATCGTCCCATTGGATACGAGTGCCAGTGTCCTGCTGGCTATAAGCTGCTGGACAAGAGGACATGTGGAGGTCAGGCCTGACTCAATGATGAGATGACTTTGCCAGTAAAAGTAAAGCTGATATAATAGACTACTGCACTAATAGTTGCACTAATCATTTTCAAATTTTACAACTCGCTAGTGCCAGGTTATGTACATTTCAGTGTGCTGACGCCACTTATAATAAGTTTCCACACGATGATTTAAAAATCTGCTCTCCGAGACAGGAGAAGAGATGTTGTTCCTTTGTAGCATACAATGTAGCCATGATATTCATGATATTCATCTGCAGTGTATCCGTGCGTTTACTCTGCAGATATTGATGAGTGTGAGAACCCTGATGCCTGCAGTCAGATCTGCATCAACCTGAAAGGGGATTTCAAGTGTGAATGTCACCCGGGGTATGAGATGGACCCCGTAAGCAAGACCTGTAAAGCTGAGGGTAAGATATATTCTATACAAACAGATGTTTATGATGGTTTAATAAAAGCCTAAATTAAATCTGTTAATCATATAAAGCGATCGTGTCTCTTCAGAAATTTTGGACTAAACCGCTCAATTATGGATTCGTTTTACGATCTCTTTATGAACTTTTTGAAGCGTCAAAGTGGTAGTTGCGTAGACTGTCAATGGAGGGACCGAAATCTCTCCGAATTTATTAAAAATATGAAGATGAACAAAAGTCTCACGGGTTTGGAACGACGTGAGGGTGAGTAATTTTGGGTGAACTTCCCCTTTAATACAAATGTGACAGTTAAGACATTTATAATGTTACAAAAAATATAATTTTTCCCAAAAAAAAATGCTGTTCTTCCTATTCATCAAAGAATCCTGAAAAAAAAGTATCACGGTTTCCACAAAAATATTAAGCAGCACAACTGTTTTACACTTCTATAATAATAAGAAATGTTTCTTGAGCACCGAATCACTAAACATGTTAGAATGATTTCTGAGGGATCATGTGACACTGAAGACTGGAGTAATGATGCTGAAAATTCAGCTTTATAATCACAGGAATAAATTATAATAATATTTCAGTTTTTACTGTAGTTCTTGATCAAATAAATGCAGCCTTGGTGAGCTTAAGAGTATAATATATGTAATATACAGTATGTAGAATAAATAAATATACAAATGCATGATATATATATTACATATTATGTATACATATGTATTTAATTTTTAAAAATAAAATCAATGGAGAAAGAAGCTCTTTGCAGCCCAACATTGACGCTTTACACTGACCCATTTCAGCTGGTCATCTTACATTAGACCTCAATGTAGGATATGCGTTCTTTAAATAATTTTTGTTATATTTGCCAGCACGTTTCATTCAGCTTCTGCAGACAGTCCAATTAGATCTTATCACATATCTGACTGCTACTTCCGGTGCCCTCTACGGCTCATCAGCCTTCAAGTAGAAGACACAGTCCCGGGGCGCTCTGACATACAGTGTGTGTGTGATGTAGAGATCTAGCTGAAGAAATGCAATGCTTAACAGTTTTTAAGAAGGATAAAGATAAGTGAATCCCACAGAGGGCTGTTGCTTCTCTTTCTGTGACTGGAGTTATTGTGATCTTTATGTATGCTCTCAATCTACAGTATATGTAAATGTTAAATATGCCATTCTCTCTGCAAATGGCTTTGTGTATTTGTTATCGTTGGCAGACACTGCTTATGCCGACTGTTACTTATGAATCATAGTGTTCATTTAACGTAGTTCTACAGGAATATTCCGGATTGCATACAGGTTAAATGATATCAGCGGTATCTGTGACATGCTCCTGATTACCTCTCTAATAGTTTCGAACGATTTTCAATTTGTAAAAAAACAAACAAACTGATCGTACAGCAAAATCTGAAGCACCTCAGCAAAATTATTATTTTTCAAATAATATTTATTTGAGTTGTGAATATGAGTTTATAGTTGAAATTAAGTGAGATGAGATGAAAAGACAGTGTGAATAATTGCAAGATACATCTAGTCAGTTGTCTTTAAAGATCATTAAATGTTACCTTAATTTTTATGCATCCAAATGATTGTGACAACTATTTGTCAAGTTGGAAGACAGATTATATATATATATGTGTGTGTGTGTTTGTGTGTAAACGTTTTGTAATAAATTATTTTATTTATAATAATATTTCCTTAAAGAATTCCTTATGTCTTTAAATAAATATTTTAGTCAGCAACCTCAGAATTTTTTTTTATCATTTGCAATTTTCTGAAGAATTCATCTCTCTGTTTCAAGCCTAAATCGTCTATTACTCTCTGTGATCATCTGTCCTTGTATTTTTATTTTTTTTGTAGGAAAAAGCCCTTACCTGATGTTCACGAACAGGCACGAGATCAGGCGTATTGACCTGGTGAAGAGGGACTACACACAGGTGGTTCCTACTCAGAAGAATGCAGTGGCCATTGATATAGACGTCGCTGCCAACCGCATGTTCTGGTGTGATCGTTTTCAACACAAAATATACAGGTGACCTCATGTTGACCTTTTAGTTATGCTGTAAAAATGGAAACTGTTTGGCTGTGCACTTAAAAGGGAGCCGTGGCCATTACTATGAGAGCCTGGCTTCATTTAACAGTAAATTGCTGCCTCACATGCTTGTGATGTGTTAATTATTTTGAACTCAGGAGATACGGCTCCATTTATTTACATATCTCTCCCTCACACTTACTCTCTAGACAGCACACCATTGAAATCATTCTAATGAGATGCAGAGAGGCAGAAAAACAGCACTTAAGAAACATTTTAACTGCCATATTACATAAACAAATATTATGTGGGTGTTCTGTTCAAAAGCCTGTGTTCCTTGGGAATATGTATGTACACAGTAATCTGCAAAAGTCCAGGGTCTTATGCTCACCAAAGCTGCTTTATTTGATTATTGTGAGATATTATTATAATTTTAACAGTCTTTTTTAATAAATATTATTGTAATTTATTCCTGTGATGCAAAGCTGAATTTTCAGCATCATTACTCCAGTCTTCAGTGTCACAGGATCCTTCAGAAATCACTCTAATATGAAGATTTGCTGCTCAAGAAACATTCATATGTTGAAAACAGTTGTGCTGTTTAATATTGTTGTGGAAACTATTATAAAAAAAAAAAAGCAGGACTGTTTGATTAATAGAAAGTTCAAAAGAACAGCAATAATTAGAAATATATATTTTTTAAAATAATAATGATATATTAAATATTGTTTTTATTTAAATATTAAATATGTGTGTGCTTTTAACACTTTCATCAGAAAAATTTAGTTTTTTTCAGTGATTTTTCAGTATAATCACAGGCACAGCAGCATTGACAAGTTATAAAAACAAAATACAAATGGGCTAAAAAGTGTATTAAATAGTTGACGATAGTAAGAATTTTATAATATCGCCATTTAAAAAAAAAAATGAATGAGTCTCTGATGCATCACACAGAATCTTGGGAGTAAAGTGTCCATCATTTGATCCCTTTAAAAAAGTTTTGGCGTCGGAAAAGTTTTTATTTTGAACACGGTTTGAAATGAGCCTGCAACATGACTGCCATTACCATGCTTGTTCTCCCTTCAAAGTGCCCTGTGTAGGCATCAGGTCAAATGTAATACAGGATATATTTTGACTCTTGCCATTTAGCCCTGTTACAAATTAATTTAAAACTCCCAAAGAACCTCTTGACTAATTTTTCTACAGTCCATCTCTTTCCTCCTAATTGCACATTCCATTTGATCTTGCTAATTGGGGACATTCACTTTCCTAATAATAGACACCTCTGTGGCTGCCCAAAATGATATGGTATCTTATTAAATGGCAGTACTCTGCCCCTGCCCTCTCTCTCTGTCTGTCGTCTGTCTCTTTTGGACTTATAACTGAGGATAAAGTGCAAAGTCATTAGCCGTAACTGCTCCGCTGTGAGCTTGAACTAGTTCGGGATGATATGGAAGCTGATAATAGAAGGCTATGAGGATGAGTTGGGGCATTACTTTATTGAGACACCTGCGACACTTATGAACACGTCAGATGGTGTGAAGATCATGTGATCTGTAAAGTTCAGTTTGAGTACTAGGCATAAACAGTATAAGAAATGGACAGAGCCATCTCATTGGAACTCAGCCCATTTTTAGCGATTTTTGAGCACTTCCGTTCCTGACGCGCAGACTCAAACCGACTCAAACTAAGCTTGATGACGTGAGCAACCTGTCTGACAGACGTAAATCTTCTAGTAGTTGTGCGTGAAAATTGCCAACGTTAATCTTGCAGAGACGGGGAACTTGAGCAAAGAGTTCTTTGGCGTGAGTGAGCAGGAGTAAGTATTCCGTTGCTTTTATGGACTCATTATCTATGGGCTTCTCCCTTGACGGGACGTCCCCCCGATTGCCTGCGAGCTTCTCCTCCTGTCTATACGGTAATTTCTGTACAGCGCGACAGAGAGTCGAGTGGTTATGACGCAATCGTTAGCCTATTTTTACAAAAACTGTTTCTACGGGGCCATAGTGTAACATAGAAGGTAATGGAGCCCTTTATACATTGTCGTGTTTCTTTAGAAATAAATAATGGACAAATGGAGTCTTTAAACGCCTCAGATGTAAAGTTATTCGCTGTCAAAGTGACGCCAAAATGAATGGGAGTCAATGGAAATGCTAATGCAAGTGAAGTTCTGCTACAAGATGGCAGCACCCGGCCGGCTTCAACTTCAACTTCCGGTCGATGGATTACCCCCTTGGTATTAGGCCCCGTTTACATGAGATCGATTCCGGGTGAAAACGTAAAAATATTTTATCGGATGTGCCTTTCGTTTACACGGCAACGGCGTTTTGGGGGCTTAAAGGAGCTGTATGTAAGATTGTGGCCAAAACTGGTACTGCAATCACTTTCAAATTACTGTAGAGTGGTGTATCCCCTCCCCCTCCTCCCTGACTCGAGGTTGCCAGATCGGCTGCAGGATCCAGCAGGAACGTGACGAGCTGCAGCTGTGGTAACTAGAGCAGAGCTGGCAACCCGGATGCCGCAACACTACTGACTTCGTGATTGGTAGATAGGTGGAGGGTGGAGCATCAGACCAAAACACAACATGACAACATCAACATCAGTTGAGGGCTGCAACTGCACTTTTTAAATGACAATATCCTGGCCAGACTACTGTTGTCAGTGATATAAGTATTTGAAATGTACATGATTTCTTAATGTCTAGTGACATTTCAGGGCCATTTTATGATTAATTGAAATAAATTTCTTACATACAGCTCCTTTAAAAACGCAAAAAAGTGAAACCACCGTCCAGAGTGGAAATCTTAAAAACGCTCCACCGTTGCGTTCCCGTCTAAACGGTAAAAACGCAAATCTGCCTCTCTGCCAGATTATTTCCATACGTCGGACCTTCAAGTTGCCCTAGCAGCTCTGAAAAACATACAAGAGTCTTTTCAGCAGTTGTACAAAATATTCTAAGATATTGGTGTTGTTGTGTGGCAGTGCTTCACATTGCCACCTAGCCGCCTGGAGTGGATACATCGAATTTCACACACTTTTGCATCACCATATGCACGCGGATTTCCCAACCATAACGCTCGTCTAAACGCAGAATAAAAAGTGATAACGCAACGCCACTTTTGCGTTTTCTCTTCAGATCGTTTCCGTCTAAACATAGCCTTAGAAAGCGATTTTAGACAATCAGAACATATTTGATTATTATTATACTGTAAATATAAGGAGCAATATGATTCTCATCAAGTGTCAGACAAAATGATTATGTTTATGGTTATTGCTGTTTACGGCAATGTACCATTTTTTTTTTTTTACAGACCCCAACTTTTGATTGGGAGTATTTTTACGCGATTTTTGGAATAAATGCTGGATTGGAATGAAAACCAAGAACTAAATACAATTTCTAAAATGTGCTTAAAAAACATGTACAGTCACTGATGTTACATTTATTGACAGTGCAAAAAAAGTCATGTTACATTCGCTTATAGCTTTTGTCTGCTTTTTGTTCGATACAAACACTGTTAAAAAATAAAGGTTCCATTCGGGGGGTTTCATAGCAGTGCCATAGAAGAACCTTTTTCCACTTAAAGGTTCTTCATGGAACCATAGATTAAAGTGTCAGTTCTGAGTCACTTTCAGGGCAGTTCTGAAGAATCCTAGGTTGGATGTGAACACAAATGTTCGTTTCTGCAGTGATCCAGGTTAGATCTTTGTGGACAGAGGATTTTTCCTCATTCTGTCACGATATATAAAACGATCACAACTGAGGTTATTTGATTTGACTAGTGGACCCAGTGTGTCTAATAGCAGAACCTTTAATTGTCTGCACGTCTCTGCAGTGCTTATATCCACGAGGCGAGCGACCCGTCTCGACACGTTACTCTGATCGACTCGGATCTGCATTCCCCTGAAGGGCTGGCGCAGGACTGGGTTCAGCACAACCTCTACTGGACCGACTCGGGCGACAGAACCATCTCTGTGGCTTCAGCGGATGGCAGCAGGAGACGCGTGCTGATCAACACCGATCTGAGCGAACCACGGGCCATCGCTGTGGATCCAGAGAGAGGGTGAGCACATATCAGACTCTACACTGCCAGTCTAAAAAAACAAAACCACAAAAGGCCAGACTGCCTTTAAAGGTCACTGAGATGATAAGAGAAGCTTTCAGTGACATGCACATGGAGGCTGTGGAGTATAACAGAGGAAATGTTATTGAATTCTACTAATCAGTAGAGATAACCTGACCACTCAGCTGCAAACATGCTGTTGTTTAATCACAATAGTGAATGGCACAAAATAGACAAACCTAGTTTAATAAGTCATTTAAGACTGTTCTGCGATTACCTTCACCTCTGACAAAAAATAAAGAGTGTCGACAGTGAAGAGAAAAATCGTTTAAACATCTAGTTTCAAATCAATTTGGCAAGTTAGAAATTTGATCTTTGTGTTCATGTTGGTTTTAATTTGGCTTTGAAATACCATTTTCAAGAAAAGTTTAAATGTAATGACTCTAAAAATGTTATGTAAAATGAACACTCGCCAAGCGGCAGTATTGACGAGTATATGAAACGGTGCCAATCACAAGTTGGCTGGTAACAATTTTATGAATTGTTGTGGGAAGTTTTCTGTTAATTGAATTAAAGCTGAAATAAAATAAAATAAAAAAAAAATCTAAATATTATAGTAAAAACTTAAACTTAAAAAATCCTAAGAGAAAATGAGCAATTGGCAACTAACTAAAATTAACAAAGTTTAAATTGAAGTACTAAAGTTACTAAAACTGAAATACAAAATAAATGATAAATTAACTAGAAATATAAAACATATATGACAAAAGCACAAACTTAAATAAAAATAAAAATGGAAAACCTAAAAATAAATGACAATTCAAAACATTAGTATTTACTATAATAGTAAATAAAGAATACTAATTAATAAGGTTGTCTTTTCAAGAATTACATTGTTTTAATGATGCTTTTCTATTCATTTTGGCATCAAGACAGTTGTACCCTGACATTTTCAACCCTCCCAAAAAAATATATTCAAATCAATTTGTATTCAAGTCACTGTATTATGAATTGCATTTTTTATGTATTTTTTAAAATCACGTACATTTTTAATTACTGTCAACATGCAACTCAAAGCATTTTCACTGTTATCAGTTCTTGTTGGATTTATGGAGGTTCAAACTCAGTAGCAGTAATGATTTTTATTTTTATTTTCTTTTTTTCTGGTGAACACTTTGTCTTCACAGGTTCATGTATTGGTCTGACTGGGGCATCAGGGCCAAGATTGAGAAGGCTGGCATGAACGGTGTTGATCGGCAGGTGTTGGTGTCTGAGGACATTGAGTGGCCCAATGGAATCACACTCGGTAGGAATTATGGTCCTTCCTTTCTGTTGTTTGCTCTCTAAGTCTAAACCATTTGAGTTTCATGCACTCTTATGAATCAGTAAGGGTGATCTTCAGTGTTCAGGATCTTTGACAGTAGTGTTGTGTCTCTGAATGCAGATGTGGTTGGTAAGCGCTTGTACTGGGTGGACTCAAAACTACACCTGATCTCCAGTGTGGATTTAAATGGGTCCCATCGCAGAGTCATCCTGTTCTCCAGCGAGAGACTCGGCCACCCTTATGCCCTCGCTGTGTTCGAGGTGAGTGAGCCTCCTAAATACCTGTGTCTTTGTTTCTTCTATTTCCACACAAACTGTATGTGTGTGTTTACATGTGACCAGCTAGTCGGTAAATGTGTGTGTTTGGTCAGTAGCTTATAGCCGAGTTGGCATTAAAGCCTTTCTTATTTTCTACTTTGAGATTTATTTATATGGCAGCATTTTCAGAGCTGCAGGACTTGTTTTCTTCAGAATGGTAAATGGTAAATGGACTGCACTTATATAGCGCTTTCACAGACCCAATGGCCACCAAAGCGCTTTACATTTTGCCTCACATTCACCCATTCACTCACTCATTCATACACCAACGGCGGTGTCAGCCATGCAAGGCGCCATCCAGCTCGGATATCAAGAATTACAGTTTTAAAGACCAGATCAGATTTCCCTGGGCGATATATCATCTATAACTAAAACATCTATAGAAGTGGCATGTGTAGGTGAGTGGCTACTATGGGCTGTGAAATGCTGTGGTAATTGATTGAAGCTGTGTCTGAAGCCACTTTAAATGTAAAACTGAATCATGCTCAGAATTATTCATGTACAACATCCTACTTCAATGATGTATTGTATTTTAATATGGGACAATTCCCTTTATTGTTTTGCTGCTTAAGCTCAGTGGTCTCCATGGTAACATGGGGACGGGTTCTGGGTGGGGGATATGATAGGAAGAAAGAGGATTATAGTATTTTCACACAAGCATGGCTCAAGTAGTGGTGAGCACACTAATCTAAGATTGACTTGATCTCACAGCAGAGGCGGACTGAATGCTGAAGGGCTGTTATCTTATACACCTACACATCAGCCGCAGAATTAATGGTCTTGTTGTGGCAGCTGTAGTTTGGACAGAGGATCCTGCTGTGGATCTCACCCCAGTAACAGAGCTTCCACACAAAAGAATGTGTAACTTTTTAATGCGGAAATTCTTCTTGGCAGCCTAGGCACTAGGCACTAGGTAGTTATTTGTTTTATCCAGGTTGCCCTTTTTGAATTGATTTTCATTGTTTGAAGCAAACTTCAATATCTGTGATGCAAGCAGATTGATGAAGAGGTGCTTTGCCGGGTTCCTCTTCATTTTTTAAGTGGCGTTTGCTATTTTCTGAGTACTATGTTTGCTGACTGCATCTGTTGCTGACTGTATCACAAGCCATCATGCATGTTGTGTTAGAGGGGAGACCCAATGTCTTTGAGGACCCCTGGCCAAAAACCACTCAGAACACCTTAGCAACACCATATAAACCACTGAGGACACCCTAGCAACACTCTAAACCCCCTAAGAACACTCTAGCAACTACCTAGCAATGCCTTAGGAACCACCCACAACACCCTAGCAATGCCTTAAAAAAACGAAACCCTAGCAATCTCCTAACAAAGCCCTAAAACCAGCCAGAACACCCTAGTAACGCCTTAGAAACCACCTAAGACACCCTAGCAACCACATAGAACAACCAAGCAGTACTTTAAAGCCTCCAAAACACTAGTTACCACCTAGCAAAGCCTCAAACCACACAGAACACCTTAGCAACACCTTAGAAACCACCTAATACACCCTAGCAACCACACAGAACACCATAGCAGCACTCTAAACCCGCCAAGCTCTAGCAACCAACCAACAATGCTCTCACAACCACCCACAACCCCCTAGCTACCACCTAGAAATACCCTAAAACCACCTACAACACCATAGCAATCTCTTAGAAACCACACAAGAATCCCTAGCAACACTCTAAAACCTCCCAGAATACTCTAGCAATTCTCTAGAAACCGCCCAAAACACCCCAGCTACCAACTAGCAATGCCCTAAATGTCACCCAGAACACCTAAGCAACACCATAGAAACCATCTCAGATTCCACAGCAACCACACAGAATACCCTAGCAACATAGCAACACTATAAACCCTCCAATAACATTCTAGCAACCAACTAGCAATGATCTGCTCTAGCAACCACCCACAACATCCTAGCAACCACCTAGCATTGCCCTAAAACCACCCAGGAAACCCTAGCAACCCCTTAGCAATGCTCTAAAACCACCCAGAACCTCCTAGCAACCAACTAGCAATTTCCCTTTCTTTTCTTGAGGACAAGTAAAAGTCTTGTGTTGACTCTTGTGTCTCTCAGGATCGGGTGTACTGGACGGACCGTGAGAAGGAGGCCGTTTACAGCGCAAACAGACTCACAGGACAGGATGTGACCAGCCTTGCCGAGCACCTCAATGACCCTCATGATATTGTGGTTTTCCATGAGCTGAGCCAACCTGGCGGTGTGTGGACTTCAGATCAGCTATATTTATTAATTTGTCATCCTTTATTTTGACATTTTTGACTAATGGCGTACTAAATTAAGTTTTTAATACACCTTATGAAATCCACCCACAATCGGATTTCTCCCTTTTGTGATCCATCTCGCCTGCCATTTGTGTTTTAATCAGCATGTAAGTCATTTTGACATCAGAATCTGGAACCAAAAACAATAAACATCAACAGTTTACTGTTAAAAATGAATCATAGTTTTTAAGTCTCCACAGACTGAAGATGAAGTGTGTTTGACCCATATGGCTCAGAGAATGATGGTTGTGTCGTGTCCTCTGATGGATGATTAATCATTGTGTGTGTGTGCGCAGCTCCTGACAGCTGTAACCTGGGCGGCGTGACTAACGGAGGCTGTGACTTCCTTTGTCTGCGAGCTCCTCAGATCAGCGAACACTCACCCAAATACACCTGCGCTTGCCCTGACGGCGAGGAGCTCAGCCCTGACACACGCCAATGTGTACCCGGTGAGCTCATCACATTGTGCCTTACACCGTGTCCTGGCTAGGTGGGACATGACCACATCCAGTTTTAGTTTTAGTTCTTCAGGAGTTTTGTCCTAACCACATCAATCAACAGAATGATTTGTTGATTGCTTGATTTCTCACTTTAAACATCAAATGTCTTCTGATTGACTGTGATTTAGTCACAATATGCAAGTTTTAAACAGGGGTGTTTCTAGCCTTTATTGAATTATTGAATCCTGCCTTAGCTCCTCCCCCTTTTCAAATAGCTAATAGCGTTTAGTTTACCTCATAGACTGCAAGTCGTACTCGACAGCACCACGGAAGCGAATCCGAGCGCTGATACTGTACGTTGGATTCAATAGTTAAGTAGAGGTGTGAATAAATTCTAGCCATTTCATTCTTAACCAACGTACAGTTGTAAAACGGAATAAAACTTGAGTGTTTGAGCAACCGGACACACGTCTCCAACCCATATTGCTCTGTGACGTGTCAATAGTCGCTTTGGCCAGGTGGTATTTATAGAATAGGGGGCGGGACGCTTCTAGAGAGCATTTGATTGGACAGAAGATGTGATGAGAAGCTGAAGTCCGTGTTTTTAATGCGTATATCTCCTAAATGCGAAATTTTGTCATTGTTTTGGAACACGCCAGCTTATTCATAACCTTAAGGCTAACAGATTCATACTAAAAGCTAAAAAATGGACATTTTAATTTCAGGGGGCCTTTAAGTGCTCGCTAGCCCCCCACTTGATTTAGGACAGCATGTTAGAGCTGAGCAAAGCTTTATTAACTTGACGACATGTTTGTATTTACTTTTGACTAACCAATAACCTGTCGTTGTCGCACCAGTCCAAAACGACACTGCCGTAACATCTACTGTCCCCATCAACAACACTGCGGAGACAGGAGCTGGCTGGGCACCAGAGTCCCCTGGAGCAGTGACTTCTCAGTCCGATAGTGTGGCTGAAACCACTCTCTCATCACTCCTCACTTCCAGCCCAGAGGAAGCGGCCATCTCCTCTAATACTACAGCAGAGCGCAGGTCAACACAGGCATCCAGCACCACACCAGGAGACCTGAGCAACCTGTCCCATCACTGTAAGTGTGTGTCTGTGTGATTTCATGCACAGGAGAAACCTTGGTCAGTTGAGCCTTCGCTAAGCCATCCTAGTTACTGCTGGTGGGTCGGAGGAGTTTACAGATTGTTTCAGAGGACTGATTTCCCTGAATGATTTTTGTTAAAACATGCTCATTAAGTGGGAAGTTCTTGTTATTATGTGGGTTGGCATGAAATGCTTTGACTGCAAAAAAAATGCAAATCAGCTGACAGCTTACACAGTGAGAAAATGCCATCAACGTGATTTGGTTACTGTTGCAAAACAGCATATGAAGTTTTATTGAGAAAGTTTTCAACCTCAGGATGTTGTTTTTACATTTTTGAAATATGCTTCCAAATGGCCTATATGCATCCAGAAAAGAAGTATATATATTAAATTTCTTTTCAATACTCTTGTCTGTCTATCTATCATCTGTCTGTCTGTCTATCTATCTATCTATCTATCTATCTATCTATCTATCTATCTATCTATCTATCTATCTATCTATCTATCTATCTATCTGTGCCTGTCTATCTGTCTGTCTTGTCTGTCTGTCTATCTACCTATCTATAATCTACTGTCTGTCTATCTATCTATAATTTATCTATCTATCTATCTTGTCTGTCTATCTATCTATCTATCTATCTTGTCTGTCTGTCTATCTATCTATCTATCTATCTATCTATCTATCTATCTATCTATCTATCTATCTATCTATCTATCCTGTCTGTCTGTCTGTCTATCCTGTCTGTTTGTCTATCTATCTATCTATTTATCTATCTGTCTGTCTATCTATCTATCTATCTATCTATCTATCTATCTATCTATCTATCTATCTATCCTGTCTATCCTGTCTGTCTGTCTATCTCTCTGTCTGCCTGTCTATCTATCTATCTATCTATTTATCTATCTGTCTGTCTGTCTGTCTGTCTGTCTATTGGTCTGTATGTCTGTGTATCTCTCTGTCTGTCTGCCTGTCTATCTATCTATTTATCTATCTGTCTGTATGTCTGTCTATTGGTCTGTATGTCTGTGTATCTCTCTGTCTATCTGTCTGTCTAACTATCTAGCTTATAGTATATTCTGTTTGTCTCTCTGGCTGTCTTGTCAGTCATTCCACCGCCAGTCAACCGTGTGTTAACATGTCCCCTCACGCTGTATGTCAAACACATGCAGTTCCTATTGTTGCCACAGTGGTCTTCGGGGTGCTATCTATAATCTACTGTCTGTCTATCTATCTATAATCTATCTATCTATCTATCTATCTATCTATCTATCTATCTATCTATCTATCTATCTATCTATCTATCTATCTATCTATCTATCTATCTATCTATCTATCTATCTATCTATCTATCTATCTTGTCTATCTATCTATCTATCTATCTATCTATCTATCTATCTATCTATCTATCTATCTGTACCTGTCTATCTACCCATCTATCATCTATCTGTCTGTCTGTCTATCTATCTATCTATCCAACTTGTCCTTCTATCTATCTATCTATATGTCTGTCTGTCTATCTATCCATCTATCTATCTATATGTCTGTCTGTCTATCAATCTATCTATCTATCTATCTATCTATCTATCTATCTATCTATCTTTCTATCTATCTATCTATTCTGTCTATCCTGTCTGTCTGTCTGTCTGTCTATCTACCCATCTATCATCTATCTGTCTGTCTGTCTATCTATCTATCTATTTATCTATCTATCTATCCTGTCTATCCTGTCTGTCTGTGTCTATCCTGTCTGTCTGTCTATCTATCTATCTATCTATCTATCTATCTATCTATCTATCTATCTATCTATCTATCTATCTATATATCCTGTCTGTCTGTCTGTCTGTCTATCTATCTATCTATCTTGTCCTTCTATCTATCTATATGTCTGTCTGTCTGTCTATCTATCTATCTATCTATCTATCTATCTATCTATCTATCTATCTTGTCCTTCTATCTATCTATATGTCTGTCTGTCTATCTATCTATCTATCTATCTATCTATCTATCTATCTATCTATCTATCTACCATCTATCTGTCTGTCTGTCTATCTATCTATCTGTGTGTATATCTATCTATCTATCTATCTATCTATCTATCTATCTATCCTGTCTGTCTGTCTGTCTATCTATCTATCTATCTATCCTGTCTGTCTGTCTGTCTATCTATCTATCTATCTATCTATCTATCCTGTCTGTCTGTCTATCTATCTATAATTTATCTATCTATCTATATTGTCTGTCTATCTATCTTGTCTGTCTGTCTATCTACCCATCTATCATCTATCTATCCTGTCCG